ATGCAAGGTCATTTGAACGAGTTCAAGGTCATCAACGGAGAAACAACATTACTTAACTGTCTTTCTACTGGCGAGACATTGCAAGTTGATACCCCTTACAAGATTGCTTATAACCTTAGAATGTGGCATGACCTTGACTCAAGGTCACTTCTTCCTGTTCGCAGCTCCAACGGAAGACCTACTCGTTGCTTTGCAACGAGCTCTGCTCTAGTTTAAATTTCCTTTTTTATTTTACTTTGTTTATTGTTTACTCATATATTTTCTATAATTATACAAGCATGTTTCATTTTAAATTCATCATTATTATTGAGCACGAATGATATTGAAATCATGCCCCCAGCCCCCCCCCCCCCCCCTCCCCCCCGCAAAAAAAAAATAAAATTAAAGACCTGGCTCATATTGTACTCTGAACATAAAGCTTTAAACTTAAATCTGTAAAAGTTTTGGATCCTTCCCTAATCACTGCTGACATCGTTTGTCTCGGTATCACTGTCATGGGTAATATAAAGATTTATTTAGCGTTAATTGCGCTTTGATTGAATTCAGTCTAAATCTAAATCGGAGAAAATCCACAGAATTTTTTGTTGTGGATGTTATTAATCAAGCGCGGGTTGAGTCAGTGGTAGTGTGTATGTACGGCACAGGTACAGTCACAGATGTTGTATATCAGGCACAGGATACAGTCATAGATATACAAAATGTACGCTGTAGTAAATGTTACTTTTTAGAGATTATAGCGATCCATACAATGGATTTAGGCAAAGTCAAGCTTACATATATTTTCCGCGATATATTCACTAAGCTAGTTATCGTTACCGTTTTGGCGATTACAGCCTTCCATAAAGTAGATTTATTTAAAATCAGAAATTTTCTTTCCTCCTTATTAACACATTTCGTATTTTTCATTAAAAAACAATCCATACTTAATTAACAACATATAGTTTAATACGTTGAACAATCCGGAAAATCTGGCATTCCGGAAAATCTGGCATTCCGTTTTTGATATTAGTGAGCAGGTACAGTCATGGATGTCCGGTACCAGCATTGCCGAGTACAGTTGCGGATGATAGCTGACAGCCACTGTTGTTAAAATCGGAGGGGACTACTTTAAAAAAAATAATTAACACTGAAACCTCATTTTATTCCTTTTAAGGAAGTAATTCAGTTAGTTTGCGAACTTTTTGATCACCCCTCGTGATCATTTTCAGGTATGAACCCAATATTGGCCACAGAAAAGGAATATAAAATATTTTGAATAAACGTTTACTGTAGGTAAATTATTTCAATTATACATCTCATATTTGCATTTTTAATGTATAATATAATATTGTACAATTATTGCTGGTTTTTGAGGTCAATATGATGATTTAGACACCTGAGGAGTATAATATTCACCGAGCCAAAAGGGCGAGGTGAATATTGCTTGTCGATGGTGGCTAAATCATCCCAACTCAAAATTTTTATTGGGTGGGATGTTAAGGCCCGTAAACGAGGGAAGGGGGACTTTCATTGATAATTTCTATCCTTAAAATTTAAATTAAAACTTTACATGCTCTAAAAAGGTGGGGAGAGGGGTAAGCCTCCTGCAACTCCCCAGCCCCACACCCACCCCTCACCCAAGAACCTATGTGCCTTAATATTATGTTCATAATGAGTGGAAGTCAGGTGCAAGTGAAATAACTTTCCAAAACTAGTTGTATCAATTTGGAATTTCCCGATATATTTTTAGTCTAATGTGGAGGAAGACAAATCATTATTTTCACCTGGAAGGTCACGTGCAGGTGAATACAACGTAGTATTTTCTTGGTATTTTTTCTACATTGGTGGATCAAGGCCAATTAGAGAGAAAAGAATTAATCAATCATATAATAAATTTTGTTTTTTAGGTAAATATCTTCTTTGTATACATGGACAAGTCATGGTAGCCTTTCGCTTCTCGATCAGGAGGACTGGGTTCGATTTTCTTTCACCTAAGACATAAACATAGGTAGTGAATGTTCCTTCACCAAGCAACCGGCATTAGAAGTGAAAATCACGGGTCTTTCGGATGAGATCTTTAAAACCGAGGTCTCATGTCACGGTAGATGTCACAAATACGAACCTTCATTGCTCAATGGCATGAAGTACCGAGTATAGGTCTAAATTTGAAGCCCTTCACTGGCATATGGTGACGTCTCTATATGAGTGAAAAATTCTCGAAGGGGGACGTTAAACAACATACAATCATTTAATCAATCTTTGTATACAATAAAGGATGTTTTCGAAATTTCAAAAGAATTGACCTTTATGAGAAAAAATTTCCCAGGAAAAGTCATATTTCAAAATCATTGTTTCTTTTTTTTTCCGTCTAAAGAGCTAAACTCACTTTATGCATAAAATGGCCAAGTCCATATACTAATGAATTGATGTTATTAAATCTATATGTTCCTATGTTTCATTTCAATCACCAATATTCAGTAGATAGTAAGTGTTATCGTTTTCTTTAACAAGTTTAAGTTTCCTCTGAGAGTCAAGGTATTAAAAACAGGCTTTGTTTTTTTTTATTATTATTATTTTGCAGAAAACTGGTATTTTGAGTACCTTTAAGCTCAACATAGAATTAAAATATGAACATGCCCCTATATATCATTATGTAATTTCACATTTTTGAATCAGAAAGTTGGACTCTTCGCAAAATGTTGAAAAAAAAAATTAAAACATATGGCCATTTTTTAAGACATTTTTAAGATTTGGGAATAATGACGCAAAATACAAAAACTAGCGTGAGAATTTTCAACATATTGAAATACTATATGTATTTTTTTCTTGGAAAGTGCGTTGAAAACTTCGACATTCAATATGAATGGGGAGGTCAAAAGGTTAAAGAAATGATTTTATTTTGTCATCTCAAACGTTCAACGTCGTACAAGGGCAACGTCATACATGTAGACGAGAATCAAAATTCACGCTCATGTTGAACAATCACCTGTGATCCCTCAATTTAGTTTTACAAATGGGTGTGTGTCATTAAACAGGTATAATATATTCAAAAAACCAATATTTTATCAAACTACTGTAACGACACCTGATAAGCGCACTGGTGTATAATAAAAACTAATTTCTTTCTCTCTACTTCCAAATTAAAGGTGAAAGTGAAATAAAGAAAAGTCTTGTACATTTAACAAATAAATGGTTTATTCTGAACACATATTTTATTTCTATGAAACAATTATTCCAATTAAATCCTTAAAACCTAAGTATTCTGTACTTGTTATTGTATTGAGACTGGTAGATTTAACCAGTAATTGAAATAACAGCGGATAAAATATCCTTAAAATAATTCTAATAATTTCAGACCGATATATCACGGTAAACAGCTCAGCAGTTAGTTGTACATAAACTTATTTATAACAAATCATGACCAACTCCATCCCAAATATTCTAAAGTCTTTCTCCCAAAGTAAATGTAATAAAATTAACAAACTAAAATAACGCACCTTTCTACAACCCTAAATCAGTCAAAATCACTGCTGTCTGCTACAACTCGTGTTTATATACGTAGTAAAATGACATCATGAAACGCGACCAATCAGTAACGTCGCGTAAATTACAACAACCAATGAAAAACATGACGGGATGCTCTAGTTCCCGAAACAAATTCTCACGCTTACGAGAAAGTAATAAAAATAAAAGAAACATTTATTTTCTAGCCTAACTATTTCCAGAATCATTAAATATCTATACAAGCATTAACAATAAATTATAATTGAAATATAGCGCTCGCTAAAAATAGGTACCACGAGGTCTTAACAATAAAGTAAAACAAGTATAAACAGTGGAACTCAGGTAATTATGCATGTATAAAACCAGCCTTTACTTAGTGGGCAAATTATTTTACACAACACTTATACTTTAACGACAAAGCGATCAAAATACGCATCATAAAACAAACAGCGCAAATCAAACTTTAGGGAGTGATGTCAAAAGCGTAAATTATGTACAAGTACATACGAGTATGAGTATCAACAATAAATACATATGTAGCCACAACTGGGACAGCACTGACTGGCATATCTGCTGAAGTTCCACTGGGAGGGAGACTGGAGGGCAGAATTGGACGTGGAGCAACAGGGGTAGATGGTACAACCTGAACCTGTGCCATGGCTGAAACTCGTCGCTTCCTCTCCCAGTGGGCTGCAAAATCCTCCGTTGACAACTGCTTAATCATGCTGAAGACTACCTTGCTCTCCTCCCTGACATCAGCTGAGGAAGGAAGTGGAACAGCAGAAGATCCCTTCAAGGCTGCATGCAAGGAGTACCACTGGGGATGCTTCCGAGAGTTGGTGAAGTCAAAGTGACAGTACCCACAGACTGGACACACATACGGCCACTTGTCAAAGGTGAGGTGCTTAGAAAAAACGTGTCTCAATACATAATGTCGTTCTCCCCTGAAGTTACATAAACAACATTCCCATACTCTCCCTCTCTTCCCAGCTGAAGAAATATCCGCCATCTTGAAAATCTGTAAGAAAATAACTGCACAATGTAAGTACAGTAATACTGGTAAACATCAAACATGAAATCTCTCATGTTAAAACATTTTGAAACATGTAATATCATTTAACATGTAACAACAATATTGATATTCACCCTTCAATCCCTCTTTTATTTTTTTAAAAAATGGTCATGATTTGTTGTTAACACACTGTGACACACACATATTGAAAGGACAAATAAATCCTTTTATTTTTTTTTTTAAACTTTATTAATACATGCATCATAGCTATAACTGGACAGTAAATATGTATTTTACTGTAGATTTGTCTTGTTTTTCAATTTTTCTGACAACTTCAGTGCCCATTACAACTTCAGTGCCCAATTTGGTGGCGTACATCCAGTGTAGGGAAGTAGCTTGTTATGATTGACAATTTTACACTCGTCACGAGCATCAAATTGAATCTCAAATATTAGGTCACTGAAAACTTTCAGTACTACAAAAGGTCCTATGTAAGTTTTTCTTAATTTTGGACATTCTCCATCTTTGACCTTTTCATTTAGTAACCACACAATATCTCCAACTGTATATTCATGAACTAGCACTTTTGAATTGTAGATATCTCTTGTTGTTTTGTAGATTGGTGAAGATGTTTCATGGCAATTTCATGGGCATGGTAAACTTTGGATCTTATTTCTTCAACGAAATCTCCATAAGATGAAATTTTTTCTCCATTGGAAGCTAAAGAGTGATGTGTTGCCTTGTATGGCATTTGGATTTCTCGACCAAACATCAGTAAGTTTGGGGTGAGTCCTGTCGATTCATTACAAGTTGATCGGTAGGCTGAAGTAAGGCAGTTAAGATGAAGATCCCATTCTTCATGGTCTTCTACTATGAAAGCTTTAATCATTCAAATTAGAGTACGATTGAATCTCTCGACCATCCCATTGCATTTAGGATTACGTGCAGCTGTTCTAGTTTTCTTGATATGCAACAAAGAACACAACTCTTTGAATATACATAATTCGTAATTACGACCTTGATCTGAATGAATCATCAGAGGGCATCCATATCTAGTGATGATTTCGTTTAATAGGATATTTGCTGTCACTTCAGCGGTTTGGTCAGGAACAGAAAATGCTTCTGCCCATTTAGTAAAATAATCCATTACAACAAGTATGTAACGATTTCCTCTTTTCGTGACAGTTAATGGACCAATAAAGTCAGTGGCAAGACATTCCCAAGGAGCACCATATGACATCATTCGAAGAAGAGCTTTAGGTTTTTGTATCGGAGGTTTGTTCATAGAACAGTTTTCACATGATTTTATAAATATCCTGACCTCCTCTTTTAATTCAAACCAGTAAAAATGCCTAGGGACTCTAAATTTGGACTTCTTAATGCCTAAATGCCCGGACAATATTGAGCAATGACACATGTCAAGTATTTCTTTCTTCATGCATTTCGAAACTATAAACTGTTACATTGTTTCACCAGTGTTGTAGTACTGTATTAGTACAAAACATCATTTTTGACAACTAATTGATCCCATAAACTCAGTTAATGTCTCGTTGTAGTTGGGAAGGAAATTGCTTCTTCTTTCTTGGGTCTTTCATTTCTTATTTTCCATTGTAGAACTGGAGATATATCAGAATCTTTAAGTTGAGCAGTTTGCAGTGCTGCAGAAGAGTACTGACTGTGCCAGACAGTACAGTCGGATAATGCAGATTCCTGATGCTTTTGTCTTGTAGTGACCTTCCTTGCAGCAACCTCTGATTGTTCAGTAGACAAATGTATGGAAACTAAATTTTCTGCTCTCAGTCGGCACTTCTTACAAGGTCCACATTTGAGTTTGTCCATATTATCTGCTGATGCACAAGTGCAGTCTCTTGGATTGGGACATCTGGTTAAACTATCTGCATTTCCATGTTTTGTTCCTTGTCTATATTCAACTTCAAAATTATATGCAGAAAGGATTTCTATCTATCGAGCAACTCGGCCCTTTGGTTCTTTTAGTTTGAAAAGCCACACCAAAGCCTGGTGATCAGACCTGACTAAAAATGAATGACCAAGTAAATATTTTCGAAAGTATTCTACAAAATACTTTACAACTAAAAGTTCTTTATCAGTTACGCAGTAATTTCTCTCTGCTTTGTTAAGAGTTCTGCTGGCATAGGCTATAACTCGCTCACGACCATCTTGACATTGGCTCAATACAGCTCCTATGCCTAAGATGAATTGTCCATGATCGGGATCAGGGTATCTCATAATTTCTGGCCCAGTTAAATTCGTTTTTAAGTTTCTTGAAAGATTCTTCACACTCTGCGGTCCATTGAAAAACTTCATTCTTTCTTGGTCAAATTTGTAATTGGTTTAGCAATCATAGAAAAGTTCCTAATGAATCTCCTGTAATAGGCTGCCATTCCCAGAAATTGGCGTATCACTCTCTAAGTCTCTCTAATACTTGTTTAACTCGATCGACATGTTCGTCAAAAGTTTTGCTGAAGATAATAACATCATCCAAATGTATTAAACAAGTTTCCCATTGAAGACCATTTAAGGCCAATTCCATGACTCGCTGAAATGTAGCTGGGGCATTTGTCAAACCAAAAGGCATAGTTACATATTCAAAATGCCCATATTTGGTTAAATATGCAGTCTTTGGAATATCTTGTTCCTTGACTTTAACTTGGTGATAACCAGATATAAGTTCTAAAGTTGTAAATAAAATTGATCCTGCAACGGAGTCTAAACGGTCCTGAATTCGGGGTAAAGGAAAGGCGCCTTTGGTTGTCACGCTATTAAGTTTCCTGTAATCTACGCATACTCTTAATTTCCCATTTTTCTTTCTAACAAGTACCAATGGTGAGGCCCAAGGGGAAGTTGACGGTCTGATGATCCCCTTTTCTTGCAACTGCATGATGGCATCTCTTTCTTCACAAGCAAGAGCAATAGGGACTCTGCGTGGTGGTTGTTTGAGAGGCGGTTGTTTCCCAGTGTTTATTTCATGTTCTGCCAAGTTAGTATTTCCTAAATCCCATTCATTTTCTGAAAACACATCTTGGTAATTGAACAGTAGATTTTCAAATATATGTCTTTCTTCTTCAGACAGTAATTCAGATGAACTCTTATAAAGATCTATTAAGTGCTCTGGAACCTCGATTTCACTGCTAAAAGGGAGATGATTATCTCCTGTAAGATAACATTCAGTAACCTTTTTAACACCACTCTTGGATACTTCATCCACCAGGGTCATGACCTCTTCAATAGCTTTAGGTTCTAGCAATAGATTCTCATTCTCATTCTCAGGACTGTAATCGGCAATTCTTTCAATAGATGAAGGAATAATTGCTTCACTCATTTGTGGGAAAGTAAATTTATCCACTGACCTCAGAATGCATCCAACATTCTTTTCTCCAGCAGTAATACATGAAATACAGTGGCCTTGCAACTGTAAAACACTCCTTGAGAGTAAAATATCAGCTCTACCATCCTTTTCGTCCATCAAAATATCAATTCCTAAGAGAACATCATCTTCTATGTCAACTACAAGTAGTTTTCTTGTCAGCTTAACTGGTCCTAACTCCAGTTTAAAAATGTCATTTCCATAGACATGAATTAAAGATCCACTAGCTCCCTTTAATGTTGAAGTTCCATCCAACATTGGCTTGTTATCTTCGGGAATTTCTTTATACGATTTGTATGACAAAATACATGTACTGGTAGATGCACCAGTATCTGCAGTAAAATGAACATCTATCCCATTAATTTTTCCCTCAATATATATCCCATCAGTGTCGGGTAATCTTCGATTTGTTGAAAATGGAAAAATAAAATCATCTTCAAAAGTTTTGGGGTCTATACTGTCCGTCTGTTCGTCAGTGGTCTCATTAGCCATCTTTTGACCCTCAGAAATGGCTACTGGCCATTTAAATGAGGGGTCCCCATTCTTTGCTGATCTTGGGCATACTGTGTTTTCTGCATTGGACAATCCCGAACATAGTGTCGTCTCTGTTTGCAACAAAACAGCTTGGAGTTGACATCCTGTTTTTAACATCATCAGTGTTTCTGTACTGATTGGCGTGTTTTTCTGGTTCCTTTCTCTTCTCTGCAGGAAAACCTGCCTTATCACTTTTGTGACAGAGTTCTTTTCTTTTTATTGCCTCCACAACTCTTTGCATATCTCTTCCAACTTAGCTTGGAGCTCATTTATGGTGGACTGCTCTTTTGTCTGCTCTCTGGGTACATTTTTACTTCCGTTGCTTTCTTTCCCAAACTTCTTGTAAGTGTTAAAACTTTTAAGCTCAGTTTTTTGTACATCTGTTCTAACTTGTCTAGCTGTCTTGTACTTGTTCTTCAGTCCTCTACCACTTTCCTCTTAACTTACAACCTGCAACACAGCCTCATCTACATTTTCTGGTTCCTTTACATACTCTACATGAAATTGACATCGCTGTCAGAGAGACCATAGAGAAATCTACGCAGTAAGTCTTCATCTCTTGTCTCTGAATTTCGTTTTGGATGAGCTTTATCGTATAGGCGTTTGAGATCGGCTGTGTAGTCTTCAACCTTTTCACCAGGTCTTTGCTGTCTGTTGCTAAATTTAGCTATATATGTCTTTCTGGTTTCCACAATTCTGAAGCGGTTGTTGAACTCTTGAGTCAATTTGGAATAATTTCTGGGTGTAGCTTTCGATATTTGTCCATAAACAAATTCTGCTGCTGTATCATATAGTCGAGGTAAGAGTTCGTCTAATTTTTGAAGCTCGGCCTATCGTCTTCTTTCTCTCTGCTATTTCCTCAGATCTAGCAAACCAGATTTTCCAATCCTCCTTTCCATTGAAAGGTGGAATCTTAACATTGTGAAGCCTATGCCGATAAGGAGGTTCTAAGGCCTTTATTGAGACTTCTTCATCACTCGAGTCAATACCATCTGTTGTTGTGTTCCTGGCTCCATTGGCAGAATTTCTTTGTTTTTCTCCCAGCAGTGCATGTAATGCTCTCTGAACCTCTGTTTGTATTATCTCTGCAATGTCAGTTTGCAGTCCAATCTCTTGTTTTTCATTAAGTCTGCTCTTTGATCTATCTTCCATGACTGTTTCAGATGGATGAACTGTGGAAAGATCTAGAAATGAACTGGTAGTTTTTCCAGGTATATTTCCTGTATGTTGAGGTAAATGGGCAGTACCAGTTGATGGGTAAACAGGTAAGTGACCCATAGAAGATGTAACAGGTAATGTACCTGTAGAGGAAATGACAGGTGCGTATCCTGAATTAATGTCAGGCATAAAACTTGCAGATGAGGGGACTGATATGAAGTGACCAGTATGATGTGTCATTGGTAAATGATTTGACGGTTGTGTCACAAAGCTTAAAGACCTTGGCAGCTGTGACATAACTAGCCCACCTGTAGTTGAGTTAACAGGTAACTGAGGTACTTGAAGCTGTGTTGCATTTTTAGGTTGTTCAAAATAAGGGATACTACTTGTTTGTAGTGCTATATTTGGTAGTGATACTGTTGGTATATCACCTGTCTCGTGAGCAAAATGCAACTCTGTAGGTGTATGTAGTTGGACTGTATGTGTAGAAATTTGAGGTACCATGTGCGTACTTGTCACTTGGACTGCATTTGTGGGACTTGCAGGTGCAAGACTGCTTTTGCAAGTAACAGGGATATCGCCTGCAAAGGGAGTTAATTTCTGTACTGTTAGTGTTTGATGGGTAAGAGGAGACCCTGTCATAAGTGGGCTCTTTTCTGGCTCATTATCATGACTAACTGGTGTTACAGTTTCAAAATGATTTCTTTCATTTGCAGATCTGGAATACTTAAGTGGACTATCTTCTCTTGAACTTAAAATCTCGCGAATCTCTTCATCAACTGACACAACTCTGTTCAAGGCAGAAAACTCGCTAAGAACTTGTGCTCGACTTCTTGTCTTTCTTTTACCACCCATTTTGTAATAATGTGTTCAGAACAACCAACATGACTTGTATTTCAACAACAACAAAAAAACTTTAAAGCTACTGAATCTGTAAATATAACAGATATTTTTTTTGGGGGGGGGGGGGGTGTTTGATCACTGGATCTGTTTTTCTTTTTCTTTTTAACAGATCCCGCTGCGGATGCCAAAATATTGTAACGACACCGGATAAGCGCATTGGTGTATAATAATAAAATAAAAACTAATTTCTTTCTCTCTACTTCCAAATTAAAGGTGAAAGTGAAATAAAGACAAGTCTTTTAAATTCAACAAATAAATGGTTTATTTTGAACACATATTTTATTTCTATGAAACAATAATTCCAAATAAATCCTGAAAACCTAAGTATTCTGTACTTGTTATTGTATTGAGACTGGTAGATTTAACCAGTAATTGAAAAATCAATGGCTAAAATATCCTTAAAATAATTCTAATAATTTCAGACCGATATATCACGGTAAACAGCTCAGCAGTTAGCTGTAAATAAACTTACTTATTTAAAACAAACCATGACCAACTCAATCCCAAATATTCTAAGTCTTTCTCCCAAAGTAAATGTAATAAAATTAACAAACTAAAATAACGCACCTTTCTACAACCCTAAATCAGTCAAAATCACTGCTGTCTGTTACAACTCGTGTTTATATACGGAGTAAAATGACGTCGTGAAACGCGACCAATCAGTAACGTCGCGTAAATTACAACAACCAGTGAAAAAAACTAGAGCGAGCTCGTTGCAAAGCAACGAATAGGTCTTCCGTTGGAGCTGCGGAAGGAAGAAGTGACCTTGAGTCAAGGCCATGCCACATTCTAAAGTTATACATGTAAGCAATCTTGTAAGGGGAAGCAACTTGCAATATTTCGCTAGGAAAAACTGTAAAGGAATGTACGTGACCTTGAACATTCCAAATGCCTTGCGTCAAACCATGACACACTCTCGTCATAAAACCCAATCTGTGTGTTACCGACTTGAAAAGTTCACAATGACACGTCATGTTCTTTTAGTCCATACATACAGTCAAAACATCTTATCCTTAGTGACCTTGAACTTGAGTCAAGGCCATGTCACACTCTGCATGATACCAGCAATGTTTCACTAGTACAAATACGGTAGCGAAATGACAGTTTCTCTGTCAGTGACCTTGACTCGACCAAATGACCTTGCATCAAGGCCATAACA